GCACTGGGAGGGACGGGGGAGACACTGGGCTCAGCTGGGGGGCACTGAGAGGGAGGGGAGAGGGCTTGGAGGACATTGGGAGGGACTGGGATGGCAGTGGGAGGGACTGGGAATAGAGTGGGTTAGAAGGGGCTGGGCTGGGGGGGCAGTGGGGAGAGAGTTGGGAGATGTGGGAGTGAAGTGAGAACGACTGGGAATGGACTGAGAGGGTCTGGGAATGGAGTGAGAGAAACTGGGAGTGACTGGGATGGACTGGGAGTGACTGGGAGGGACTGGTGTGGCCTGGGAAGGAAGCGCTCGGGCCTGGGAGGCTGAGTGGTGGTGAGGGAAGTGTTTGCTTTGGGTCTGCCTGGCAACTGGAGCGTCATCAGAGACACGCGCTGCCATTGGCTGAGGGGCGGGAGCTCGGGGGCATCGACGCGTGGAGACGCGGAGGGGCACTGGGATGGACTGGGATGGACTGGGATGGACTCTGAAAAACTGGAATGGACTAGGAGAGGCTAGGGGGCTTTGGAAGCACTGGGAGAGACTGGGATGGACTGGGAAGAACTGGGAGGGGGCAAAAAGCCACGGGAGGGGCGCAGGGAGGGCTGAGGGGTCTGGGATGATTCCCAGGGAGGGTTTGAGGGGCTCCAGGGTCTTTCCTGGGTCAGGGGTCGAGGGGACTCGCTCTGCCCCACGCTCACCTCTGCGGTTCACCAGGAACAGGGTGGACACCTCGTAGCTGACCCGGCAGAACCAGTCCACCGCAGACCGTCTGTACTCCAGCCCATCCTGTTGGCTGTTCCAGTACCTGGCCTGGATCTCCCCAAACGGGGTGTCCCCCACAAAGACCCCCACATCGCTGTCAAAGTGCATGTACTGCTCCCGGTTGTAGATGTACCTCTGCACGAACCTCACCCGCTCGGTGCCATTGATAAAGTAACACTCGTTCTTTCCCAGCCACTGGAACACCCCTGTGTGTGCAGGACATGGGTCAGGGGGTGCCCCGTCCCCCCCATCATCCCTCAGCGCCCCAAAGCAGGGTGGGAGCTCAGGGGGCCACCCCGGAACCCCCTTTCCCACCCCCCCTCTGCCCCACGGACGCCCCAGCACCGGCTCTTGGCTGGGGGGGAACCCCCCATCAGCCCCCCGGGGATGGACAGGGGGGTTGGGGACACCACCAATGCCGATCCCACCCCCCCCAGAGCCCCAGGGAACCGCTCCAGGGCTCAAGGGACACCCAGGGACCCCCAGTGCACCCCTCTGCCTGCTCTCCCACACCCCCTTTCCCCCCTCTCCCACCACTTTCTCACCGTCCCCCCAATCACCAGACCCCCCCACCCTCACTTTGGGGCTCCCACCCCCGTCCCACTCACTCAGGGACTTCCCACCCCCCTCACGCTCACTTTTTTGGGGCTCCCACCCCCTCTTTTCTCCCCTCTTGCCCCCCCTTGCCCACCCCACCCCCTGCCCGCCCCCCCCCGCTCACCCGACAGCTCCTCGCCCGCAGCCGGGGGGGCTCCCAGCACCACCAGCACCGCCAGCACGGCCCCAGCTCCCCGCACACGCTCCATGCCCAGCGCCGGGCACCCCAAAAGCAGCCAGGCTGGGACATTTTGGGGGGTTTTTGGGCGCGCTCGGATTGGCTGAGAGCGCCAAGTGCGGCTCCGGTTTGGGGCCGTGTTGTGGCCTGTTCTTGCCGGCGACTGATGAGTCATCAGCGCGGCGCGCTGGGATTGGGCGCGG